CCCTCCTTCCGCCGACACGCGCATATGGCGAAGTGCGTACGCACCATCCGTGGCTATGCAAGCTCAATGTTCGGAGGGTTTCCAACTTTTTTCGCGTCGTTTTAAATTAAATATTGTTGTTGTGATTGTTATTATGTTTCAGTTGCATTGTGATTGTTATTATTTTATTGCTGCTAATTTTTTTAAAAATTCCTGTCATCATTAATATAGGCACTGCAGATGTAAGATTCATGATATTAAATTTTAGTAAATACTGGTATATAAAGGACTGAAGTGCAGATGTAAGATTCATGATGGAGAGTAAAAGCGTGACTATTTTCATTCTCTCTTCTTACGCTTCAGCATTTCGTAACACATGTATATTCCATTTTTTGTACAGTTTATTTACTCTGTTTTATCATGCCCATGTCAATGTTCTTAAATTAAACCTGTGAAATAAATTCGTCCTTTTAATGTCGTTCGAAAATTAGCGATGCGTTCGTGTTAGTTTTTGTATACAACTTGAACGAGAACAGAGTTTGTTGATGAGATCGTTGTGAATTGTTTCATTACGTTAACAAGATATCGTTGAATCACATAGTTACAGCAGTAGTTTTCTCGCAAGGATCAACAACAATGGTACGAGTTATCATAAAAGGTGGTGTTTGGCGTAACACCGAAGATGAAATCCTCAAAGCGGCGATAATGAAATATGGCAAAAATCAGTGGAGTCGAATAGCGTCTCTGTTGCACCGCAAGTCAGCGAAACAATGCAAAGCACGATGGTATGAATGGTTAGATCCAGGAATCAAGAAGACCGAATGGTCACATGAAGAAGATGAAAAATTATTGCATCTTGCGAAGCTGATGCCAACTCAATGGCGAACAATTGCGCCGATTGTTGGTCGTACAGCAGCTCAGTGCCTTGAACGATATGAACAATTACTTGATGAGGTTTAATTTATTGCTTTCCTTTTCATTTTCGGTATCTTTCGTTTCGATTGCATATTTTTAATATCAGGCATCACTCTCATGAATCTGAGTCCGCTTTCTTGGATCTGTATGCAGTTTCACTTATCTGTGCTTTATTTTTTCACGTCTAGGCACAGAGAAAATCTGAGTTGGCAGATCAAAATGAAGAAATAAACGAAGCACGTAAACTAAAACCGGGCGAGATTGATCCAACGCCCGAAACGAAACCAGCTAGACCAGATCCAATTGATATGGATGAAGATGAGTTGGAAATGCTATCCGAAGCTCGTGCAAGACTGGCTAATACTCAAGGCAAGAAGGTATTTTGAGAAGTTTTTCATTTAATATATGTGTTGTACAGTGATGAGAAAAAAAAGTTTGAGATTAAATGTCATAATTTGGTTCTATTACTGAACAAGAAAATAAGGTCAAGAAGAGAGGAGTTATATGGTCGATAATTTTTAGGCAAAGCGTAAAGCACGTGAAAAACAACTGTCCGAGGCACGGCGTCTAGCATCGTTGCAGAAGCGTCGAGAATTGCGCGCCGCCGGTATAGCATGGGGTTCTCATAAGTTTCACAAACGGAACGCTACTCATATCGATTATAGTGCTGAAGTTTGTTTGTTGGATGATATTTATTTCAATTTCATTTCTGATTTGTTATCATTTATTCACCCTTTTCACTGGACTTTTTTTTGAATTGAAACAAATGGATTTAGATACCGTTTGAAAAGCCAATCCCGGCTGGTTTCTACGATCCATCAGAAGACAAGTATGAGAAGGACACAGGTTTCAAGAAGCAAACGAGGGCTGAAATTGAAGGGCCCCGGAGAGATGATATTGAAAATGAGGAACGAAAAAAGGATCGTGAGAAACTAAAGAAAAGAAAGTTCGTTTTGCCTTTAATTTCTTCAGTTTATTCCTATGAATCACGCAAATTTCACTCTTAGCGTGTGTACAGCAACTAATAGAATTGCTGATTATTTTCAGAACCGATGAAAATCCCGAATCAATTTTTGCGCAGAAGGTCGAGAAGAAACGTTCAAAACTAATTTTGCCCACTCCACAAATCTCTGACAGTGAAATGGAACAAATAGTGAAAATTGGACATGGCAATGATACAGTACGCGAACTCAGTGACAGTAATCCGACGAGCACCCTTCTACACGATTATCAGCTCTCCACGAAAGACACGTCTCATCTCGACCAAAGAACACCAACCGTTCATGTTGACGTTCTCCAAAAGGAAGCTGAGAATCTATTGGCGTTACACAACGTACCAACACCACTGAAAGGCGGTGTCAATACACCGTTACACGATCTCAACTTACAGAGTGCGCTACCGCAAACCCGGCTTGTTGCCACACCAAACACACTCCTGTCCACGGTTGCAGCAACACCGAAAAGTGCTTTTGAGAGCACTACGCCTAGCACAACCGTTGAACCTGGAACGCCTGCAACTCCGTTTAGAGATCAGCTGAATATAAACACGGCGCAGAGTGGTTATGAAACTCGTAATAATTTACGAAAAGCATTGAGCGAATTACCACAACCCAAAAATGATTACGAAATTGTTGTTCCGGATGAGCAGCAAGAGAAATGTGAACCATTGACGGATGAACAGGGCGACGAGGAATGGGTTGAGGATGCTAGTGAAGTCAATGCCGAGCGATTACGTCAGAAAGAAGTGGAGAAGATACAGCAATTGGCCAAAGAAACACAAGTTGTACAGAGAAATCTGCCAAGACCGTCGCAAATCAATGAACAAAGTTTTAAAGCAGCAGCGAATCGAAATGATCTTACACGAGTCAGTTTTTGATTTTTCTGTTACAGTAAATCTTTTCATATTATCTCGTAGTACTTGTCATTTATTATTATTATGGAATAGTTCTTGGCTGTTGCTTATTCATTTCCTCTTCATCATCGTCACTTTTATGAAAATGTTAATGTTATAAGATTATTTATTTGTATAAGTTGTTATTTACTTATTGTTCTATTAAATGGAGGGATTTTTTTAGGCTGATGATCTTATCAAAATGGAGATGTTGAGTTTATTGAAGCATGATGTTGATGGTGAGCCAATCGAAGCAGTCGATCAGGACGATTTGAAAATAGCCAAAAAACTCATTGAAGCTGAATTAAAGCCGGTTGATATTTTGACTTGTCTTTTCATGATCCGAGAACGATATTTTAAAGTTGTCAATGAATAACAGTAGTAATATGGTGTTTTGTTGTTCCAGGAAGAGAAAAGTGAATTGAATTCAAATATGTGGAACGTAATTGAACAGTGCTCATCGGAGTTGATACTCACGCAGGGTAATAAATTCACTCGTCTTGGTGTACTTTCCAAAAGGGATCAAGTTGAAGCACTATCAGCAAAATTCCAGGTATATAGTTCTTGTCAACTGCAACTCCTTTTATTTCATTGGATTTGTATTTGTTGCTTCTCTTTTCATTGGATTTGTTTAGTTATATCGTGATTGGATGAACGGAAGGGCGAAGAAGACTGCAAAATTGGAGAAGAGACTAAAAGTAAAGCTAGCTGGTTATCAGGTATATTCATTTTTTTGTTGTGTTATTTCAATGATAGATTTGTTATGTTCGTCGAATGGAATTAAAGGGAATGTGTTTGTAATACGAAGGTAATTACAGAGCATTGAGATGCATTTGCGTAAGCGAATCGATGAAATACGCACTGAATTGGAGGCATGCGAACGAGAAATGAGAACGTTCCAGAAACTTGCCGAACACGAAGAATTAGCAGCGAACAAACGATTAGATAAACTTAATCAAGAAGTTATTGCTCAGGTTCGTTCGACTGATTTGAATTGTTGTGGTTTTGGAAGAAGAGACTGTAGTTACATTTAAAAATAAAATGAAACGTAAATTGCAGGAGAAACGAGAGAAGGATTTGCAAACCCGTTATGGAGAGCTTGTTCGCGATAAGGTTGACATAAGTGAGAAGTTGGTGCGTAAGGATGCGACAGTTAGTGCTCAACCTGTACCATACCAATAAATGTTTCTGTCCCATGCAGATGTTGTGAATAATCCTATCTGATTTCATTAATTCTATTTTCATTTGTTTTTTGTACGAATCCAGAATATTTTGTTGGCATGATAAGCATCCGAATATCTCACACATTATTTAAAGTTCGTTGTTTCTGTTGGGTGTGAGAATGAATGAAGCATTATTATTAGTGTTATTGGATGAAGTTGTGTGAAATGTTTTCCGAAGTTTCCTCTTCGTTTTAATCATATTATATTTCTGTTTGAAGGTTGCAGTATATGATACTGTTAGCTTTTTGTTTTCTTCCAACGATGTTCATATGCTGTTATCATATGTTATTCAAGTGGTTTTCACAGGGCGGAAAGTTACCGTCTCCCATTCTGGAAGTGAATTCGAGAAGATTTGAGTAGGTTGTCGATTGATGTTGAGAGATAGTTGCTCGGTAATATTTTCGGAATGTTCATTTGATTACAAGGTATTGATTCCTTTGGTATAGTCAAGCAATTATTGGCAGTAAGCTGCTTGTTCGGAATATCACTAAAGGTTAAATTAATAGTTCAAAAAAAGGCTCTAATCGAAATGGACGTTGTTGTTGCGCTGACACAGTTTTGTCACGCCCATGCGCACTGCACACCTGGAGCGATTACAAGAACTCGGTGCAGTGTATCACGGGATGCAATTTTTTTGAAAATTACACATAATTATTGAATATAGTAGGAATTATTGGGAAAGTTAAAATTACTAGAAAAAAGTTCTTAGTAACACTGAAAATTAATTGATCCTTTTCCAGTGCTACTTGATGTTATAATAAAATCAAACTGAAGTCTGTTTTCTTTTTCGATATGTTGCAAACACCAGCGCGAGAAATATGTGCAAAAACACTGCCAAAAAGTGCTCATTTACAAAAGCTTTCGTAGAGTAACTGTAGAAGTGCTCACGAAAAATGAGAGAGTGTCATTAGAACGAGTGGAAAATGTCGATACATTGCCAATATAAATGCTACGGTTACGCGAGCTCTTGTGAGGCTAAGAAGGTGTCGACACTTGTTTTTCGAAGCATGATCTGTTAATTGCTACAAAAAAAAAACTCCGTTCCTATTTCAATCATTTTATCGATAATTTTCCAGATAAGGGATCTTTGTTCGGCGTTTCTCCATAAACCATCTCAACCGTAGTGTGTTCTCGACACTTTCACGTTATAATAAGTCTAAGACCCCTTTGTCATCAGTTGAATCAGCATTTTGCATGCTTGCGTTCGGATTCGTTAGCAGTTTAAAGAACCAAACTATAGGTTTATTCTATCAAAACTTTGCATGGGGATTGAAACAAACTGAGACGTGACTTTGAGTTTTTTCTGTTTCTTTTTTTTGAGGGTTTTCTTTCTCGCACTTCTAACCTTACTGATTACCTGTTATGTATTACAGTTTCAGTTGAGCCACTTTCTGTCAATATTTTTCCAGTTTATGAATTCAACGTTTCTCCACGTGACACTTCAGCAGTTCCCAGGGAACCCCTAAGTAATGTTTGCAAAATCCCGACGATGTTTCAGTTCTGGGATCAAGTAGCTCTTGAAATATAGGAATGAGTTATGTTCAATACATTCTTTTTAAACAATGCGTTCATATTTAATAAGAAGAGAATTTATGCCACATATCATACGAATAATAGCATTTCAAAATCTGGAAGCAAAGCATCGATACTGCAAGAGAACTGCAATTTAGATATAACATCAACAACTGAATTCTCTATAGCTACATCTCAACTGTTTGTGTTAATAAGTTTAATGGAATAATGTTCAGTTGCTTATCTAACATGGAAAGAACCCGAACACATCGATAAATTTTCTTTTCAAATTCTCAAATGTTTTAAACTGAATGAAATTGTATCACACGGATAACAGAATTCGTATACTAGAAATTTTAAAGTATTTGAAGTAGAATCGTTCACAAAAGGAATGCTCATCAACATTGTAACAAAAAGTAGAATGAAGACTGACATACCAACAGAAAATTCACGCTTCATGATCAAAGTTAAAGATATAGTAACTGAGATATATATCAGTAAAAGAAGATAGGCAGGACATATCGCAAGAATGAACGATAACCGTTGGACCAGTCGAATAACACAGTGGATTCCAAGAGGAGTGAGAAGGCCCCTAGGCAGGCCACGTACGATATAGAACGAAACATTCGTCAGACTGTTCGGTCAACGTTGAAGGAGGTCTGCACAGCATAGAGAGACATGGAAATCGGTTGATCTGCGCCCTCATAGAGAGCGAAGACAGGTCGCAAGGTAATACCAACAAAAGATTTGAAAAATCCAATTTCGTTGAATTTGAAATAAGCTTTGAAAAACATTAGAGCGTTGATTGTTGAATTACACATCCCTTTTCGCAACAGTGTTAAAATTCAAATCATGGACGGAGCAAAGCTTGACGATCATTTCAATAAGTGGATCAGTAGTTGGTGCAGGATTAGGTTGGAGGTATTTGATAGTCGGTAGGTCCCTTCTGGCCTTCGGAAGATTTTCGTCGCAGGATGTCGTATTCTGATTCGACTTTAGATGCACAAGTAGTCCTTTCATGGACAATTATTTTGCTTTTTTAATTTCATCGCACAATTTCATTGTCTTTTTTAAATTGAAAGTACACCCAGCAGCAAAAATGATTGCCTTTTGAATATATCCAGAGGAAGTTGCACTGTTGAAAGACCTTTCAAGAATAAATGCAAAATGATAGACCATAATAAGTGGAAGGTAAAGCAATGAAGCGAGAGTGATGACATTATGAATTTCATACTCACTGTTTTGTGAAAAACGAAAGTCGAGGTGGCGCTACTATATAATGACTCATCCTTTCATTACCGCTTTGGTGGTAGACGACCAATATTACTCTATATGAATGAGCTGGGAATAACCAGTGCGTGATTTCAGAAGAGTATATTACCAAAATTATATCAGATGTCATGTTTTATCAAATTCCAAAATCCTGGGATTATTCAGAATCTGATCCTCGGGATCCCATGCGAACCCTTCCCTTCTATTTCAGTGATTCTCTCTCATTCAAGTATCTTTACTATCAAGGATATTCGATATGAACCAAGTGTCATTATGCAGTAAAAATCCCCTTTTTTGAGCTGTATCAAAACTGTCCAATGGGCGAGAAAAGATTCACAAATACATAGTTGAGTTTGTTGTTTTGGTCGCAATCAAAGATCGCTGTCGAAAGAAATACATGAGAAAGCAGTAGTGTTCATTTGGGATCTGTCAGTAGTTGGTGTCTGCTCAACGATTTTCCGTTTATTCCATTTTTGGATTTTTGTTATTTCAAAAGATATTCTCTCATTCATTGTCATTATTTTTCGAAAAATTCCTACCCATGTCGCACCCTTTCAGAGTGCGAGATATGATTCCAAGAGGTGTGAGATAACATTTCATTTTTTTACAAATTAAAGTAGGTGTCACGAAGACTTTGAGTTTGTCCCGGTTGTGATGTTGCTGAGAGGTAGAAACAAAAACGATTATAATATCTTTCATTGAAATAAAGTAAATTACCACACTTACAACGCAGTTTATTACGAGCAATATTAACAAAGATGGGGATGTACGTCGCAACAAATTGAATTATCGAAGCTGTAATATGAATGATATTCGAAAACTGCTTCTGCGAAGAAAAGAAGTTTTTCGTTGGCAACCTTTCATTTGCGATCTAAACAAACCCGTCGTATCTGGCACTAAGTCCTGTGTGAATCTTTGCGCACTTCGTGAGGAATTTCTGTTTGGCGTGTGTCGCCGTAGGCGCCGCCTTCGTGTTCGTCGTTTGATTCATTTTCAAGAAGCGAGTCGTTCCGAATTGGTTTTAAGATCGATAGAGTCAATCGATCGATTTCATTGATTTTGCAGTTTCAGTTCGACTACATCAACGTTCTATAACAGTAATGACGCGTAAGTTTAGTTAAAAACTTAGTTTTTTGAAGTATTTTCATCGCTTTTTATTTAATTTAGCAATTGCGTATTGGTAAATTCGGAACTAAGTTGTATTCATGACAGCTATTTGTATACATTGCGTGACTTTTCATGAGGTGTTATAACATCAAATAAAGAGGTATTAAAGTTTATCTTGTAAATATCTAATGTATGGGTTAGTGCAAACCTGGATTTGTTGTGGCTGAGAGGTGATTTGAATAGATAATTATTGCTCGTATTTCATAAGTTTTTATAACAGAAGGCTTAGATGCTCTAATAGAAGGACAACTGCTTGAATCGGCTACAATTATTGTAAAGTGGAATGAATAAGCGTAGTTAATCTTTTAGGTGGCAATCAACGTGAGTTGGCCCGTGAGAAGAACTTAAAAAAACAACAGCATTTGAAAAAAGGGTCTAAAGATGCACAAGTATGTGTGAGTTTATTTTTCCATCTTTTTTCGTTCCATTGATATCTCCGATCCCGGAGATATGTTTGTTGATCATGCTTACATGTTTTTAATCACTGCAGATGGTTCCACTCTTGATGATGGCTAATGAAAGAACGATTGATTTTAACTTTAAGTCAATGTAAAATCAATCGTTACTTCATTCATTATGCTTCTGCTAAACTGATATCTACGTACGCAGCATATATTGGAGAGGCGGGGTTGAGAACATATAAAATCAATTATTGATTTGGTTTTTTTCCGAATTCACAGTCAGTTTCTCTTTGAATTGCATGTTTTGTCTAAAGAAACAATTTTTTACCGATCGAAAATCTGTCTCATTTATTCCTTCCTCTCATTCGTCATCTTTCGCGTTTTTAACAGCGATGGATCCTTTTTCAAAATGATGATAGTCATAGCACGTTTTTGAGAGAAGAATAATTTAACTATATGTTCATGATTGGAAGCAAATACGAGCCATCATTGTGATATCGATTGGTGCGTTGGATTTGAACAAATGTTCTCTTTTTAACTTGCGTTATAATTACCCCTAGTGTAATGTATCATATCAGTACTTGAATTGTTTTTGTGAATAATTCTCGAAAACAGTTCAGTACGATGCGACGTCAAACTGTAATCAAACGGAAAACCCTCTACCCTGATTAGTCCTTCTCAGAGCGAACAACATGCAGTTGTCTTGAGTGTTTACAAGATTTACTAATTTTCCAGTCAGTGGATTGCAGGAACACAAGCTGGATAATCGAATGGAAAGGGATGCCGATATTATGCGGAAAAAGCAAGAAGCTGCTGCTGCGAAGAAGGCTGCTCAGAATGCAGCCAATGCGAGTGCATCGAAAAAGGTGCAAAGTTATGATCCACTTAAGTGACGCCAAATGACATCAAGTGACATCAACCATATTTTTGTATCGTCTCCTCGAAACCCGTTACCGTCCATATTCTAATCCCAATCAAACAATTGTGATAATATTATTATCTTTTTATCCCACTCAATAATGCCTTTCAAACGGCTATACATATTAAACGTATTCCGGTCATTTATTCTTATCATCATTATCGTGTCCGCTTGTAACATAATATTTCATATTTTTTCTTGAAGTGTCTTCCGTTTGATGTCTTTTGAAAATGTTTTTTTCGTGAATAAATCTGCTGCTCGGACTCTTACATTTAACAGAATTTTAATCGGATTCGCATTGCAACCTCAGCGTATTTATTTTGCAGTTGACACTTCATTTTTATACGAATATTTTTCTTTTCACCTTAGTATCTTTGGAGAATGTTTTGTAAGGAAGTTCATCTCAAGTGACAACAGTGGTAAACATATGTGATTCATAGCATTGAAATATGATTTCGAAAAATGTGTTTTCGTTAAGTTGTGATGCAGTGAGAAGATTTTGTCATTAAATAGTATGTTCTCAATTTTGTGGGGATGTGTCGAGCCAAATGCGTGTTTTCATCCCAATGATGAGAACGGTAAGCGTAATAACAGCTCATCTCAAAACATAAATATGATCATAATGCCGCAATGTTTAGTTTTCGATGCTAAGTAGAAACGTTAACAATCTTATCAGCAACTTATAGAGCAGATACAATGCTATCAGATGTAAATAATTTGTAAAGTGATCCGTAATACGTCGGTCACATGACCAAATATGCGAAGTGATCTAGAGTTCGTACATCGAAAATACACTAACCAAATGCCATTCTCACTGTGCCTTCTATCGTGTCTTCATAGTTGTTTAAATAATCTTACCATTAATGCCTCCTCAACACAAACGTGTATGTCTCGCCGGTCACATAGCCTTACTTTTACTTCCCGAGATCAATTTTTATTTGCAATGTTAAGTTGTCAAATCAACTGAATACTCAGCCTTGTGGATATAAGCATTCACACATCACGTACCTAGGTCGAACGTTTTGTTCGAACGAGCGATCTTTCACACATTCGACACGAAATCGTTTCGTGAAGATAGATTATGTAAGCAGTGCATCATTACGCAATCGTAAGTTGTATGTATTGTACGAATCCTACGGATATGACGTTGAAATAAATTCAATGTATGTTCTGTGGAACGTCCAAGTATGGATATTGCGTCAAATATGCCCCGTTTCTTATTGTGTCCGTATTCATAAGGTTACGCCTATGTAATTTTTTTAAATGTTTTTTTAAATGTTTTTATGTTTTTTATGTTTTCAATTGTGAAATTTTATGTTTTTAACTATGAAAATAAGAGTAATTTCCTTAGAATGGCTGCAGAATTGAATAGGTGTTGAAGTGTCGCACATTTGAACGCGTTTCGATATTGAACATTTTTGAGTCACGTAATGTCCAAAAGATTTAGGCAGCAAACGTGTGCATTCATCTAAAGAAAAAATGCATAATGAATGCAAACGTCACCTGCAAATACCTTTTGTCACCAGATAGACTTATTGTCACGTAACTGCGCAAATGCCGCAACTCGGCCGTCCGAGTTTTTCGAAACTGTACAAAGCGGTTCGCAGTATAAATATTTTCACGGAGTGCAAGTTGAGGCCTACTACAGAATTAGGCTGAGACTCAAGTTGACAACTTCCCACGAATTCAAACTGCGGTTTATTCTTTGCTGCGAGCTTCTTCGAACAGCCTTATACAGCTTGGCCGTATGAGTTAGACTTGTACGACAAAGTGTTAGCAGGCGCCCATAATCGGGATATCATCGTAGCTGTGAGGGTACATGTTTTGAATTTTTGCTGAAGAACCTCATGTGAAACTTGAGCTTCTGATCTGATATAAATTCAGTTCTCGGCATTGAATAAGCTTGATTTATTTGCTCAGCTGATTATTTTGTACATTTCGCACACAAGCCTCTTCAAGATTACTCCAGCTATCACTATTGTCGTGGTTAATTGCTCATGTCACCCGTGTTTGGCCCGCTATTTTGCAAATATTATCTCGCTATCTCATTTTCGGTCGACCCCGACCTCGTTTTCCAATTCTAGCCTACCAATCTGTGCACCTCTTCGCCCAGTTGTTATTGTCCACTATCGCTGTTTTTCTTGCCTAGTTACTTTTTGCTTCTCCTATACATTTCACAGGGTAAGCGTTAATGAAGGCATAAATTTGATCACAAATCCAAGCCAGATGTCGAGCTATTATTCCATAACGACGCTGAAGGACTTTTATATACTAATAAATCAGAAAGTGAAATCATCTGTGGAATTGTCAGTACGGGTTTGCCGGGCCGTGGCAGAGATTTGCCGTTCCGATCTAAGCAAGCCTTCCCGTGTTAGGCCAACTGCCATCAAGCCGGGCTAAAATTTACTCGGCTAGACGCTTCCACGTTGCAATTACTTGTATTCCTGTTTTGGCTCGAGCCAATAAGTCCTGCCCAAGCCTAGCAAGTGTTGATCCGGCCAGACGATTCCTGGCTCGACTGAGGAATTCTTGGCTGAGGTCCGAAAATTCCACGCTCCCGACAAATCGTTATCGTTCCCGTATGTCATTGTGTGAGGCGCTTCGAATTTTAATTATTCAGTGAATCAGATACCGTCTGCATCAACAGATACGTTCGTTTTTAGTCACAATCTAACATTGGTCACATCGTCATGACAGACGAAAAGAGCGATATCTGTAACGCATCTGCAAGTGCTGCAGCTCACGATAATGAAAACGTTATGGAAAAGCCCCAGTTGGAAAAAGAACCTACATCTGTGCCTGAAAAAGATGCAGTAAACGGAGCTGAAGCAAAAGTTTCACCAGAACTTGCGAAGAAAATTGTTGAACAAGTTGAGGTAATGTTTTTACTGCCTAATGATAATTCTAGAATATCACTTCACTCGGATTCCCTAATTGAATCGTCGATTATCTCCAATGTATTCTTGTGTAATGCCAGTGAATGAAAAAGTCAAACCACAGTTAGTAAATTAATTGATGTGGGGAATTTCGTTCACAGTTACGTTCGTTATGTAGATTTATTCATAATAGTTTTATCAGATAACAGCACAATTGGTGCCAATTTCAAAAGAGAAGTTTTGAAAAACCGATACAGACCTGAAGATGTTTCTCTTGTATACGAGTCGTCTTAACGGTGAATTAATTTTTAACCGATTTAGTAGAACATTTCTGCGTTTATAATTTTCGTTTTATTTGTTTACTTCCAGTTCTACTTTGGTGATATCAATCTTCCGCGTGATCGCTTCTTGCAAGATGAAATCAAAAAAGATGAAGGATGTAAGTCTTGAAGTGATCTCATTCACCTTTATCTCAACTCTTTATCGATCCGGGAACCGAATTTTATGAATTCAAGCCTTCATGATACCAAATAACCTCGACGTTAAAGTTACTCCATAATAGTGAATAATTTTTCGAACCAAGTAGGTATCTGTTCGTAATTTTTTGTCATCTCAGGGGTCGCTCTAACTACGATGACCAAATTCAATCGGTTAGCGCAGCTGACAACCGATGTGAGTGTGATCGCTGAGGCATTACAAAACTCGCAGCTGCTCGAAGTTAATGAAGATAAGACACGAGTCAGACGTGATCCTGAAATTGCATTACCCGAAAACTCGCTTGAGTATTGGCAAGGAATTAAGCATCGCACCGTTTACGTCGTATGAGTTTTGACATCTATTCAGAATTGCATTAAATGATCTTATTTATTCGTTCAGAATGGTGCGCCTGTTGTGATTAGTGTCATGAAAGTTACAGTTGACGACAGTTTGTCTCGAAACTAATATAGCTGTGGGATATATTATTCATTGGTTATTTGATCGCCTTAATTAATTCCCTGGGATAATATTCGTGCTTAAGAGCATTCGATAAATTAAAATACTTATGTAATGGTGATTGCAGAAAGGTTTCAAGTTGGATAGTACACTGGATGATATCCAGAAGTTCGTAAAGCAGTTCGGTGATGTTGATAACGTGTTGATGCGTCGGGATAAGAGTACTGAACGAAGCTTCAAGGGATCTGCATTTATCACTTATAAGACCCGTGAAATGTGCGAGAATTTTGTGAACAATGATGTGAAAAAATTTGAAGGTTCTGATCTCATCAAAATGATGCAGTTGGTTTATAATTTATTTGATAGAATTTCTTTTTTTTTGTTTTCCTTGAACAGTTTAAATTATACAAGTGATGTGCAGAGTTTGTTGATGTAGTGAGAGAAATGCTTGATGTGTTCATTCTGTTTTCAAGTGATTTGCAAGTTGGAATCATCCAGATAGAGCCAGTTGCAGTTGTAATTTCATCAGGTTGTGCTGAATAGATGCGTTCATTGCAAGTTGTTATTTGTTTAGACGAGAAAACGATTATTGAACGAATATAAGTCATGCAATGAATCAAAACCATGCTTTCAGAGATGACTACTGGGCGATGAAACAACAGCAAATGAAAAATCGAAAAGCGGCCGATCGTAACGCAAAACTTGCCAAGAAGGTTTTGTGTTTGCATTCAGTATCTATACTGGGTTGTTTTGCGATGCAAATAGAAGCGGGTTATTACATTACACTGGCTTTGTTCAGGTAGCTGAGAGTGACGAGAAAGAAACGAGTAGCGTAACAGCACATTTTATGAAAGGAATGATTCTATCGGTCGAAGGATTACCCACTGAAGATGTCGATGTGAACAAAATCAAGACGTTCTTCCGAAAGTTTGGTGATGTCGCATACGTTGTATTCAGTAGCGGTAACGATAAGGTTATTCATTGATTATTGATTAACTTAAACTATCGGAATGGAATATACAAACGCCTTAATATTAATTCAGTTCAGGTTGTTCTCGAGATGACAGTCTTTCATGTCATTATCGAGTTGGTTGTCGATAAGTGGAACTCTGTGATTGTTCCGCCGTCTTCAGATGAAAGGCTGAATTGCATTTGTCGAGTTAGAGGCAGTTGATTTCAGGCACAGATCCGATTCAGTGGTGAAGAGAATTGCGCAAAAAAAGCTTGGGATCAAGCAGTGAGTGAGGCTGGTGAAGAGGGTAAGGTTATGATGGATGGAAAAGAATTGAAGGGTGCGGTTCTAGAGGGTGAAGAAGAAGAGAAATACTGGAACGACTTCAATCAGAATCGAGCCAATAAACAGTCACGTATGGATCAGAATCGACGAGGACGAGGTCGATCACGCAATCGCGGTCGAGGTGGTCATCACTCATTCGGAGGTGATCGGGGTGGTGGTACAGTTGTGCCCAACAAGAAGGTGAATATTATGTTTTCGTTGATTTTTCCTTTCAACTTTCAGTTATGAGTTCATACTCCGAGTGGAATTGAAAAGTGTTTTATGCCATCCTGCAGTCAGTCCATCACACTTTTCAGTTGTGTTTTTCATCACTGACGTCTTCCCTGTTAGCGTGCATTATGGAAGCGAACATTTTTGTATGCTGCTTTGATAGGTTTAATATTTTGTGGTTATTCAGAGGGAAGGTGATCAGAAAGAAGAAGGTGATGCATCCGAAGCAAAAAAACCGAAGAAGACTGTTTTTGCTGATGAAGAGTGACAATGCTTTGCTTCAAGGCGACACATTTAAAGATTGTTGTTGTTGTTGTTGTTGTTAATGCTTTTTCCAATTGAAAAATTGCGTTGTTGTTATGGTCAGACCTAGTTTTGCTTACAACATGTTCACACTGCATTCAAACTGTTACTTAATCATTCCGTCGAGTTATCGTGTCATTAATAACTGGAAGTGTTCGTTTACCATCAGTCTCCTTTTATTTCCGAATTAAGTGGCTTTTAAATTAATTTCATATCCTATGTCACAAGTGTAGTTTAATTTCTTAGATTGAAGCGATATTCGTATTGAAATTGAATTAATCATCTTAAAAATTTGAACATGAATGGATGCGGCGGATCTGTTTAAATAACTTTTACTTTCTGGGATTTGGTGGACGATTTAATAATACTATTGGGTATGACTTGTTGTATCCGATGTTATTGTTTGTTTGGAGTACGAAAATGTTGAAGCCTGTTATTAGATTTGAATTAAAGATATTAAGTACTTTGTTTGGGTTATATTTCAAATTCTTGGGATTTAGATTTTCATGTTTTGAGAATGGGATTTTATGTTTTTGACTTGGTTACAGAAGGTAATGAACTGGTTTCCGTCATGGACACTTTCTGTGTTTTCTGGAAACTTTCGAATTCTGAAATGTTTATTCTAAAACTTATGCGAATATTCTGAATCTACTTTCGATTACATTTGGGGTTCTTTTTTTTTTACTGAATCATGATATCTTCCCAATGAAATATCTTGTTCGAAGTAACATATATCGAGGTCAGACTGTATTTATTTTATGAGTGTTCGTTGATTTTGTTGTTTGAGTTTATCATACAGTCTAATAAATAATCTTTCGTTCTCTTCGAATAGATGTGCACACTTTTATTATTTTTAACAGATTTTTATCAGTTGTTTTCACATTATTATTAGTTGTTGTCCCCTTCAATCATCCTTTTTTCACCGGTTCAATTGCCAAAATATCACCCAACAGTTCTAACATAAATTATTGAGGTTTGCAACAGAATTCGTTTAGTTGGCTCGTTGAAGTATAATTTCCGAAAGGTTTCTAGGGCTGAATAATGTGTGTGGTCCTGTGTGCTCACAGTTTTTCCGTCCAATTACTTAAAGACAGCGAGTCACCGCTCATTTTTGTAGTAAATAACATTTAGCAGTAAAAAAGATTTTTTATTCTTCAGTAGGTGACGCGAATCAAAACGTGAGTGCTCTATCTCGATTGATTTCGCAAACGCAAAACAAAATTGTGCCATTGACTGTTTCTGGTGACTCACGATCTTAACAGTTACAGTTGAGCTTAATCGGCCAAATTATTGATCACTTTCGAACGTCTGGATTTAAACATAACTATTCTATTAGAAGAAGCAAACAAGTAACGAACATTGCTGCAAATATTTGCTGATACAAAAGCGGCAATCAACAGTATATTTTCAAGCGTAAAATGCGCATTTTCAGTGGTATTTACAACACAAAATGAATTTGTCGGCTAGAGGACGTTCGGTAATGCGATTCGGTTAGAGGACGTTCGGTAATGGAGCCTAAGTTTTTTTCACGTTATCAAGGTTTTTTTCATTTATGTAGGGGTTTAGCTGAAAGGCATTAGACAACACCATTGAAGGATCGGATACATTATCTGCAAAGAATGGAACAGCGTGAAAATTCCTTCCACGCTAAGATTCAGTCCGTGTTCCAATATAAACTTCAGATTACCTCAGCCTAAGCCCTAGTCTCAGCCTCAACTTATGCCTAAGCACTGAGCGATCGCGCGCGAACAGAGTGCACGCATCGCATCGTTGGCTTGCATTATTCTTTTTCATTTGGGAGTGTCAAATAATATTACTTCTTAGATTAACTTATGGCAAAACTCAAGTTATGACGGTTCTTATATTAGGTTAAAATTTGCATTTTCCTAATGTTCAGGCAATAGTTATCCCTAATACTGCATATGATCGGTTAGAATTACAATAAATGAAATGATTATTACTTTATTTACATTATTCGTCACGGAATTTGCTGATAATCGAGTCTGCATTATGCACGTTCCAAACAGTACGAAGATTTTTGATTCATTAAAACAGGTCGTGGGTGCTTTGTAATCGAACAAAGAGTATGTGAACGAATACTTGAAAGCGATCGTTGAACGCAACGCAGACAAACAGACGTTTAAACTGTCGAGAGAATCAAAAGCCACAGTGACGAATGAAAACCTCGAATGGGTATTATGTAAATATGTACATAATTCAACTTTACTCATATAAGTACAACGCCGATTTTTGGTAACATTATCAAAGGCACAAAATCTATGTGAATGAATGCCTTCAAAAGTTTCTTGGACCACGAAACACTACGAAGGCTGACGAATAAGTGAAGGCGTTCAAATTTCGATAGTGAAAGTAATCTTACGTGAAAAGAAAACAATGAGAACGGATCATGCAATAGTTGAAAGTGGATCCACCCTTTGTAATTGTCATAAGATGCATTCCGCAAATGCAAACATCCAAAAACACAGCAAGGTGACAGTGCTAGGTTATGAGCTTTTAAATTTCTTGAGAATGATTTTAGCCATCAGCAAACTGTAAAATCGCCATCCAAGCAAAAATATTCAGTGCCTTTTGAACTGAATATAACTTCATCTATCACGGAAGCATTTGCTGGGTACAGCTATCACCACGTGCAAATCCGTTACTTTTTGTGATCAGTCTACGCGAATCACTCGGGAACGACTTCAGCTTTATGAAGAAGGAAAATCGCATAATTGAGGCCGACCCTACTAATCCCCTAGAAAGCATTTCATTTTCAGAAATTCGACAGTTTACTCGATTCAAGATTTGCCGACAAGGTCATCATATTTAGCATTATGATGTTTTACAAATTCCCAATAATAGCTTATCCGAAATTCTCGATTTTAAAGCCACGTATCTTTTCATAACCAATTTCATATTTTGGGAAATGTCCATGCTAAGTGTGTGAAGAGATAGATTGGAATTTTGTCTAAAATTCTAATAAAGCATAGGTGAATTTTCACAGGTTTTTATAAGTCGTTGAGAGGTAATTCAACATTGGATAGTTATTCATCTATTCTTCACAAATGATGCCTAATATTGGAATTTGTCATCGATTTTCATGATGACAACATAAGTATCAAATGCTTCCGCTTTTCGCAAAGCAGCTTATGACCCAATCATAACTTAAGTTGATTGTTTGCGAATTATCTGTAGAAAGCATTTGTTGAATGGAGAGTGATAACCTGATAGTCGGCATCAAAAGTAGCGAACAAAGATCCCTTTAATAGAGCACGGTCTGAAGCAATCTCATTTACTTGTGACATTTGTCTAGTCTCTGATTAATATGAAAATGAAACGTATGAAGAAACATGCACAAAAGGTGATCGTTGATGAGCTAGTTCAGAATCAGTATCCGACAGCGATGGTACGATGAACTGCACATCAAGTTCCGAGTCTGAAAAGTTCTCACTATTGTTATACTATCCACTTTGATATTGCATTACAGATGAATCTGATGTAAGTGCATAGTGGGAAGTCGCAAAATTTCATCTTTTTGGCACATTAGAATTATTGACACGGAGTGCAGCTCGAATGATCACATTTCACTCGACGTCTGATTGTACGTTATAAGCAGTCCATCTCACGTCAGTGTCATAGCTTATGCAAGAAGAAGTTGCAAAGTTGTTTGATCATATATGCAAGAAAACACGCAATTATAAAGCGAAGGTGATCTTCTCAAGACAGTCGCATTACTCGCTATTGTTATACTGTATTTATAATCCACTTTGATATTGCATTACAGATGAATCTAATGCGATGAATGTATGTGATTTCTGAACAAATCACTTTTCAAAAGAATAATCTGTTAACAAACAAGCGAGCAACAATAAAGAATGAACTGTCGACACACTATGAGTTCTGCTAAATATTTTATGAATGCTGATAACACTCACTTCTTGAACCACGATTGTATTTAAGCGTGCATATCAGTGATTTCCAATCAATTCCATATCATATTCTCTTCACCGGACGCTATGACAGTCGTCATGGTTGTAACCGTTTTACTGTGTTCGTTCACGCTGTTGCCAAATAAGGTTGTCGGTCAGTGTGAATGGACTGGATGGGGCACATGTCATCCGTCGATATTGTTGGGATTATTGGATCCCGTATCAGCTCTCCAATATGAAGCGATCATGATGGATGTCAACCTCGGAGAGGCTGAACGTAAAACTTTGGTTATGCAGTGGGCACAAAATCAAGATCCATTGGTTTGGGTATGCATAGTCTGATCGTTTCGTCAATTTAACTGAACATTTATTCGTTGATATCTTTATCATTCATTGCTGCCTTCATCACGTTGATTTCATTTGAACAGTTGTTATTTCCGGAAAATTGTTTATCATCAAATTTCTCTTCTCTTCTGAAAAAGAGAAGCTGCTTCTTTAATCACTACATGAAATTTATGTGAAACTGTGTTCTGCAATACAGATGTTCAAAAAATATAAATTCGTTTATTAATTTAAAGGAAACGTTGAAAACATACTGGCAACAAAGGGGTGATGTTAAAACGGCTGTTCAGAAAGTGAGGCAGCGAATCATGGCATATTTATCTACAGAAGCACAAGAATTAACCAATAAGTTACTAGCAATCGCTTTGGACAACAGTTTAACGAAACGACAGCAGAGTGCACAGGTAATACGAATGCAACTATTATATCGTCTTTGTATTTGTAATCATATTTTGACCATCAATGATGCTAGTGCACCGTTTCGAGCAAAACTTTCCTGGTCGAGCAGGAATTGGACCATCTAACTAATAGCTTTTAGATGCACTTGCACACACTTCAAGAGCTCACGTTTTGTCATGACCTATATAGGATCTGTAAAAATGATCACATGATAGTACAGCAACTAAGCAATATCCAATTAAGATACACACATTGCCGGATTACTCATTGCTGCTGTTTCAAATTGATCAAATGTTGCATTTGGTCAATATTTATATATGCATTTTTCGTTCATCATACACTTTCATTATACGAAATTACAGATATCTACGCTGATGAACAGTGCATCAGCTCAAGTGAGGGATGAAATATTATATTTGGAGGAGCAGGTTGCTTTGTTTGGTGCCATGAACGACCCATATGCTACTGGTAATGTACCAAGTCAAGAAAACGATGATGTGATTGTTGGTGTATCGTTAACAGCCGAAGAAGAAACAGAGATTGCATTGGACGCCAATAAGATAGCAAATCTTATCGGAATAACCAATAGCGATTCAGCGGTTTCTGGAGCAGATGATACGGCGGCACAACAAACATCCGATCAAATGGAAGTTTCAGCTTCCGGTTCATCTCTTGATGCACTTACAGATGGTAACATTGATACGAGCGCGGATATCGTTGCTGCTGTTAGTGTATCTACTGATAATGCAGCTGCTGATAATGTTTCGTCTAGTGTTGCCACTTCCACGAAAAATACTGGTATAGCATTGGTAGCACCTGCAGATAGCGCAGCTGATTTAGCTACGGTTACGGATCAGATAGGCAATTCAGTGGTAGAAGGAACAACTAGTGCAGTTGATTCAAGAGCAATTCCAGATAATGGATCTGATTCAGTTGGGACTGTTGACTCAAGTACGGTTGTGGACAGCGGAGATGGTGATATAAAAGATACTGGTAGCGCAACTGATGATTTACCTTTTGACGCAGCAGACAATGCAAATTCAGTGACTGACAGTGCAACAGCAACTGCAGCTGCGAACATCATTAAAAGAGGCATTCAGGATATGAAGTCTTATCTTGGTAGCAGTGACAACGTTGCTGAAGAAAATTTTAAAAAAAGTCGTGTTATCGATTACAAAGCCTTGGGGCATGTATAGACTATTTGATTCATTGAAAACCTAATTTGCTAGTAATTTCCGTTTATCTGAAGTGAATGCTCAATAAAACAATCTCAAACACCGAGGATGACCACTTTCGAAATGTTTGTTCTGGAACAATATTGCATTGGATAGCAATTTGTTTGTTTTGTTTCATGCATTTATTGATATAATGTGCTTGTTATGAGAGTGCTTCTTTGATTGTGAGTATCGTAAACATTTATGTGAACAATGCCACTATGGTTTTCTGTGTTTCGAGTTGGTCAGAGACCATTTTTGTACACTTGCAACTCAATGATGAAAGTGAGCCTCATTTCTTGGTAGGCTACACTGGAAGTGATAACATACTTCATTTACTGCAGAACTCATCTGGTGTTCATGCATCTTGTTTAGATAATATTCAGTGACCCTCAAGTAAAATTTTGAGAATGTTCAAAACAAATTGGCATAGATTGATTTTCGGTTTTTGCTTGCTCAGAGAGTGTTCATCAAATAAAATTCGGCATCGCATTTACTGAACAAATGTTGATAAATTGCAATGGACTGATACATTCGCATAACAAGGGTGCGTTGTAAATTGTAAAACTCTTCTTTGTTCTCACTTTGATCGTATTCGTAGAAAAAGTTCCAAGAAAAAGCGAGGCGAAAACGCAGAAAGGCGCGTTTTTCAACCGAATTTCACTTGTGTATTATAAACACTACATTGAAATTTCACGATAGGCATTTCAGTGTGATTGATATTCATTTATTCATAATATTAACTAACGCCTTTTTCAATGGTTACGATCGAAATAAACAATAGAGCATGGAATATGAATGAGCGATGTTGAAACGATTGATTAATCGAATGCAATAGATAAGATTTATCAGATATACTTATACACACATCGATTACTAATTGCATCAATGAAATTCAGCTCTGTTCTTCTAACCATTCCATCATTCGTAAACATTCCCTCTCATCAAATGCAACGTTGATAAACTCTGCCTTCTTCCTGCAAAAGTTTCGCAATTGGTTACTTAAATTTTGATAATCTAAACATACATTTTCATCAATTTGTTTGTATCGAGAAAGTATTTGTTCGCATAAGTGAGAAAACTCTATGCAAAATCGATACTAGCTAGTGTCAAGTACATCGTAGTATTTAGCAGATTCGACGGGTTCAATAATCGATAACGAGGATCAGTGAGTGAATAATGAAGTTTCGTATGATGATGGTGGTGGATGAAAGTCAGCTAGCTCATTGACAGCTCGAAATTGGTTTGGTTGTTTTTTAAGTTGGAGAAGAATGGTGAGCAAACGCGAAACAACCAAAACAGCAACAACAAGGGCAGCAGCATCAGCAAAAGCCTCGCTAGCGAGATGGAATCGATGAATGAATGCAATAAGATTGTGTTTGTGTGTTACTTGCACTCGTTTGTTTCTCATTTGCTTCGTTGCACATCATTACCATTACACTCCAACAAATCATTCTTTGTCCTATTCTTATCCTTCCAGCCAGCACTAGCAGTATGAGCACTTAAGAGCGAACGAATAAACGACTGAAGCAATTGGTTTTAAGATAAAGAGGAAGCAGCACAACTGGAATGTTCATTATAATACATATGATGAATAGTATTATGCTAGTGTAAGTAGTATTTGGTCGTTCGCTTGCATCGTACTGCTGATGGTGATACGACGACGACGACACACGAAAGACAGCAACTCAAGGAAGGCAATAAATGAATCGAATAGAATCACTAGTCGTGAAAAGAGGAAATTAGGTGATGGTGCACACCGCCTCACATTATTCAGAAGCGGCGATTACTTTCCATTTTCTTTTCATTGCATTTTATTTCATCGTTCCATTGCATCACATAACATCACTAACATCAGCATCTATTCAACAATCCCTCCTAATTCGTTCGTTAATTTTGCTTACGGTACAACGAACACGCAAAATACCTACTTATCAAACAACAACCAGTTATTAACATTGCTAACTACTTCCATTTGAACTCTGCATTTCAATAAAAGCGATCATTATTTATCTGCATAAGTCAAACGGACAATACAACGGCTGTGCTTCATGCTCAATTTGTGACGTGTAACAACACCGCCAATCGCGCTTTTCTTGCTAATTTGCATATTTCGTGTGTGAAGTGAAGTACTTATTGTATTTTCTATTTCGATCGAGTATTCATTACACCCTGATGAAGTAATCAGATCCATTGCCTTTTCTTACTACTACTGTCACTATTGCTCGTGCTGGTGCTAGTCTCTTTTATTTGATAAACTCTCGATACCGCCGCGTATCAGTTCAATAAAAGAAATATTGTTGACTAGGTGCTT